GAATCAGATTCTACGTTCATTGCAAGGTGATGAGTTTAAATGTTCAAGTATATATAGCTTTATCATCCGACGTTCATACGACAGCGGCGCATTAAGCCACATATATGTATCTTTGAATCGTTTGGCCATCAAATTATCGACTAAAAGAGACCATTATTGAATTAGTAATTCTTGCAAAAAATACAAGACGAGCAGAAAACGACTGCTAAAATTTTCAAGAAAATTTACCTGTGACGTAATGCACTCCTCTTTGAATTGATGCAGTGGCCATATAAGCACTTTCCTATTGGAATAACGGCTTTTTAATCCATAAAAAATGAGAGTGGGAATATCCATTGCTTTTTTTATGAAAATAAACAAACACGTGCACCAAATCATGACTTATAGTACGCTTGTTAAAAGTATCCAAGTGAGCGACCGAACTCGTAGCGGCCCTCAGTAAGCGTCGCTTTCATTCGGTGCATAAAAATGGGGTAAAGTTATTAGACCTATTTCAGCTCAAATTTCATAATCAGATAAAAGGAAGTTTGAGAAATCGTATTTGAAACACATACAAGTTTTATGTGCTGCGTCAAAATTTTACGCGACTATTTTTAAATTGCACAGGTAACACAACAAGATGAAAATGTATCACTATAAATGCCCAAATAACCTGTCACAATCATCTTGAAATGAAGAGAAACGAGGATATCGACGACATCAGATTCCTAGACCAAATGATAATAGTGTTGATGGCGTTCATAGACAGGGCCAGGATGGCGGAGCTATAATGCCGGGCAGGTCGCCCTGAAATTACGGGCACAAAAGATGGGGTTCGTGACAGGCATGCAGCCTTGCGTGAACCCTGCCCTCTGTAGGGAAAGTTGCGGCTGCTCCAAATAAAAGAAAAGTAAGCCTTGCGACTCCTATTGACATGGAAAAGTTTTGTTCTACAACCGGGGACCTTGTGGAAAATGAACATGACGGGAGAATGTTACCAGTAAGCCACTTACTTGTAGCATGTTACTGGTAAGCCACTTACTTACTGGTAAACCTTAATAAACGGTTTACACTAATGCGGTCTTACTGAGGGAACTGTTGATAAACATTGTAGAAACTGCATGTTTCTCGTGAATATCTTTTCTTGCGTTATTATCTTAGGCCTAGTATCTTATTATATATCATGACAGAATACGTGTGAAATTACACAGATATAATAAATATATCTATTTTGTCAATCAAAGTTTTTCCGTGAACATAAAATTTCACACAATATATTATTATGTTTTTTTATCGTTTTTGATCATTATAAGATGATTATTTAAGCGTCATATGATATTTATTTCTCATATTAAAAATGTTTGCTTACAGGGAGAATCAACAGCAACAGCAGCAGGGGTCGCAAATACAGATCCATAGAAACTATCGCCACTCAACTATCAATGCGAGCACCAACTATTAGAACAAAATAACACCATATTTTACAACAAATAGCTGTTGAAACCTCCAGCGAGACACAACACTAGCACAACATGAGCAGCAGCAGTTCTTACCGGCTATAGAGAGCGTTTCTCCTGTCGGGGAGTCGGACATTTCTTAGCAGCGCCTTTCTTACGACATTTTTTCTAGTTGCGTTGGTGGCCTCATTAAAACTAATGCGTCCATGTGATCTATTTCCTGCTGGTGAGAATTAAAAGAAGATACTCGTCTCCTGTCGGGAAAGTTTCAAATAAAATCATGAGCACCTATATTGATGTTGAATTATTTTGAGCAAACTTAATAGCAAAGTTTTACTGAACGACTTTAATATTGACTAGAAATTTTGCTTTTAACAGTGATTTAAATTTAGATTATACAATTATTGATCCAAAAAAGTACATTCTGCTAAAATAATACAGACGAATTTAATTGCCGGTAATCAGTATTTTCCAGCAATGCTTAGTTTGCAGTATGAGATCCAGGTGGAAACTTATCTACAATAAGACTTTAAAAGAAAACGCACTCCATAAATTACCTTGTTGCTACATTGAATTAGATTGATTTCAAAACCGTAACTTAGTCTCCCTCGTCGTATATTCCTTTGCACGAGTAGCCTGAAATATTTCCTCCCTCTTCTCGGCGGCAAAAGAAAGTTTCTTCTTGTCGTCATCTAAGCGTTAGTAGAACACTCATCAATTACCGCCAATTGGCCATTTTCTCCTAGTGCTGTCAATTTGTACGCATATCACAACTAACCCACGGCGCTAACAACCTATAGAGTGGTGAAGTAAACCTGAGTGTGTGTGGCGTCTGTGTCTGCAGTGTACATGACTGATGCAACTTGCAATTGACATTTGAACATAAGATTGAAGTGTAATATTTTGGCATTGATGATCCTGATTATTTTGATGCTGACGATTAATCATGTTCACACATAATTTCTAGCATAACGTAGTAAAAACACTGCTCAAGGTTTGCGGCGGCTTTGCAGCAGAATCGTGCATTTTAAATCGATTAAAATAAATAAGACTAAAGCATTGTGCATGATGAGACCTCGAAATAAATTTTATGCAGCACGACGCAACTGGAAGCCTTAATATAACCTAAATGCTTGGAAAATTGCGCAATTTTGCACAATTGGTTGGTAGTAGAAAAACTAATCAGTATGCCTGCCAAGCATCCCGGAAGCATTTGAATAAAGAATCTCATGTTGGAGGTCCTGACCAACAAACCAAACACATCGAGTTTTTGTTGACAATTTTTGAGGTTTCGAGGCCTTCAGACATGAACAAGTTTTTATTAGCGATCTTCTCGACCTGAATTACCGAGAAAAAACTGGAAGATTCCTGGAAAATTTTTTTCGATATTAATTAATTTTATTGTGTAAAGAAAACAAGGATGACTCCTAGGTAAAATTCAAAATTAAATTCAGACAAATAAAGAAAGCATACAGCCGGTGTAAAGAACCTCTATATTAATTTAGAGTGCAATTAAGCTTCCAAAATAAACATTTAAACGATAATATTAAGAAAAGGGCTATTGTATTCCTTTAACCGGGAACTATTTTTTGACCTGCTAGTTTTTCATATGAAATATGTACAATACCGCCGTCAACGACACTCGGCAGATACTGCACTCAACTCGCCTCTCTTCAATAAGAACAGCACAAGACAAGTCAGCCCTATGGTTTATTGGGTTTGATTTTCTCATAATAAGTGCGATAGTTTCGATATCGGATAGGTATGTAAATCGTTTATACGGAAGGCCGGTGACACATGTGCCACGGCAACTTAAGCGGCATTCAAGTTTCGCCATTAAAAGTAAAAAATGTATAATTTATTTCACCAAAAGTGAAATATTCTCGATGTGATTATTCATTGCAAATCATATTATTATTGTAACGAAGGATGCATATATAGTTTCTGTGCGATCACAGAATTGATGCATGCATCCTTATTTATATGTTATTGAACTAATTTATTTTTTTCGATTTTCAAACTTTTTACAAATTCTAAATCAAAATTCAGTTTTTGCAAATGACATTTTTCGACCTGCTAAAATTTTGTTATTACGTTACAAGTCCTGATTTTACGATCACAATGTTGAAAACTGAATTTCAAATATACTGAGCGTATAGTGAAATGTGGCTATCAAAAGGCCTGTCGAAGCATTCGTTTCACTGGAGCAGCTGAGCACCACCAATTGATATGACGAGCGGAACGCAGCGTTCGTCCGACCGACTTTCTACACGACAACAGACTTCTGATGACGATGAACTCCTTGGCTCCTAACAGGAACTTGAACCCACGCGTACAGGCAAACGTTAAAGTTCTCTACAGCACAAATGAAACTTTCTACAATAGGAGAGTTTTATGAAACATTTTTGCAGTTTGAAAAAGTAACGTGTTGACGCCTGTGCGAAATAACGAGAAATTCTACGGAATTTCGTTCAATAATGGAAATAAACAAATCGCTGTTCCTAGAAATTTGAGTAATGTATTATTATTTCTTTGATACATTCCATTTAAACCTAGTTAAGATTGTTTTGTGACATTAATAAGGAAAGCGAGTCTTTTTGCGGAGGTCAGGATAAAGCGTATATCTCACCTCAACAGGCAATGAATTCGTCATTTTTCCAGCCAAGCATGCAGTTTGCAAATCAACAATATTTTCAGTACGATTTTTATGATATTTCCAATACTATATTTCAGATATTATATTTTCAGTTTAGTAAATAACTTCACGCACCCTAATTAACGAAGATTATATATATTTAATTAAACGCATCGAGGTTGAAGCATTGGCCGCGCATTTTCGAATTCAGTGCGCAGGAAGCCATGGATGAGCATATGTTGTTAAATTAAAAACTATTTTATGTTCATCTTCAGCAAATGCTTGCCTTCTGGGTTAGCTGATAAAACTAGAATTAAATTTTTACCATCAAACACCTATGAAGCATGTCGAAAATATTATAGTATTACATTAGGTTTATTGTCTTACAATAAATCAGAATCAATAATTGGATTCTTCATGAAAAAGAAGATGGAAGTCACAAATTCAAATAATCAAGTCAGAAATAAAAAGTTCGAATATGTTTTTAAAAAATGTTTCACGCATAAAATTTTTTCATGACTCCTACATACGGTCATACCCCCAGTTAAGTTAAGATTTACGTGCCTGCAGCTGACTTGACATGAAAGAAAACTAAAGACTTCGTGCACTTGCTCAACTGTCTTATTTTCGATGTGACAATTAGTGATAGTTTTATTTTATGCTTCCTGCAGCGTTTCATGCGTCCATGTCAAAGTCCGCATAAAAAACTTTGACGCTATTTACTCCTATCGAGTTGGTTATTATAACTCAAATTTATGTGGCTATTTAATGGACTGGAGTCGCCTGCTTTCATATCGATGTTCGTTAATTGGAATGCGTGTAAAATCACATATCATATTTGAGCACATGAATGATCATATAAGTATATCCAAGGTGTTATTGGCTGGAAGGATTTTTAACATAAAATCACACTTAGCATTAGCTCTTACCTTGTGTTTTGTGGTGACTTCTCAAGACGTACTTCAAAGGGCACTTTCGTATGCTTCACAAAAAAAAGTATGAAAATCGGGGGCTTACAATTCCTTATCAAAATTCGTATCCCAAAGCTCACTCAGTATTCTATTCAATTGATCACAATGTCCGTTTCTGAAAACAACGGAAGAGTAATAGCCGTGATATTACTTCAGGCAAGTGCATTGGTGGGTCGCACGTGTCTCTAAACAAACATCCCCACGTTTATCTCTGTATTAGGAGCAGCAAGAATATCGCCACGTGAGGGTGAGAACTTTCTCTCTCATGCGGCCTGTGGAGGCTCCGCTTACGTACGCACTCGACCAAGTTTCGCTTCGAACTGAACGGCCGAGTCCACCGTCGAGGGTTTAATACCTCCGCCACTTTCTTAGCCAGGATGTTGCACCTTCTTGGGTGCACCGAAGGAATTCAGTCCTGAGGCGAGGATCCTCCCAGGTGAAAGGATAAAACTTCTTCTTACGGGCACGACCTTCCGGTTCATGTCACTTTCAGGTGCATTGAAAGGATCCTTCCGGATGTCAGAATTAGATAACAGCCTTTCATTGTCACCACGAGACTGATACAGAGAGATAACAAATGTTTAAACAAATGAACTATGAGAATAATGATCTAACTCCGCTCTAATACTACGTATAATGAAGAAGCGCTATTCCATGCAGTGCAAGTTTTCTACATTGAATTAGGCTGTAACCATCAATGTTGAGCAATGATATTAATTGATATTCTGAACTTCACGATTCTGCCTGCGAATCGTTCCTTCATTAAGTTAACCGGTCGCTTTCTCTGAAATTAACAAAATTTCAGGGAAAACGATTATCTGTCAGTTCCAAAAGGAACTGATATACCGTTATGTAAGTATAAACAAAAAGGAACCATTATGTAAGCAGTGGCAATATTACGCGGTGCTCAATGAAGTGGTTTTGAATTTAATAGAACGAATTCTTAATATAAAATATACGTACATAGAACACAAGATGCATGTTTAGCATCCTGAACAAACTGAAGTTATAGTGGTGTGCAGCTCTAATGAAAACCATCAGCACACTATGAATGGCTGCATGCATAGATTCATTCCTGATTTGCTATAGTGTTTCATCTTCGATATCCATCGCCTCAGCAGCCGGAGCTCTCCGGTGGGCGGCAAGGCTGCCTGCCGTACAAGGACGCGTGGCTGAGGAGGCCCCCCAGCCGGAACTGGAAGCGGCGCGCGTAACCCAAAATTTAGCAGAGGCTTGCTCCATTTCGCCGCAATGGATTCACACATCATTGGTACTGGTTAAAAGATTGAAAAACATTAATGCAGATTTCCATACTTATCATGCGGACCTGCCGAATAATTGCCATTATAAACATATCTATTTCTATTTCATCGTAGATGTATCTCTGGATCCGACTTGATGAAAAGGTTTCGTGCACAAAAAGAACTGCGTGGGAAATTCATATATTTACTACCTGAAATACTTGGATAATATCTGTCACACATGCATTACCACAGCGAAAAATTCTTCATTGCAAATAACAGCAAAACTTTGGTCTCGCGATTTAAGTACTACTATAGGAAAATTCAAGCTGGGAGCGTAAAACCCTTGTTTTATGAAAACGTTAATGTTTATTTTGTGTTCTTGATAAGATAATAATGAATTAGACCCGATATCCGGCTTTATAGATGATTCCCAAGTAAGCGGAACCTGCTTCCCAAGTAAGCGAAACCTGCATCACAGGCCATCAAAGGCCGCAAAAATTATCAATATTTTGCATATATAAAAACATTCAATTCCGCATCCAGTTATATCTCCCCACCACTAGCTCGTCCAATCTTTTTTTCTGAGCAATTGACGAGAGTAATCGAACTGTGCGATAATGCATGTGGTAAATTATAATTAGATGGATCCAGCAGCTTTTTTGTTAGAAGCCAATTCTTTCTTATCCAGTGTAGCCTGTAGCGTTAATTTTGTAGCCATTGCATTGGCCGACTGATTGAAATTGTGAATATTAGCCACAGGAAAAACACCTGGTCTCTGCATGCAAGGCTCAGTAAACGCAATGACCGTAAGCCACGAAAACCTCAAGTCCGATTGCCGGATTAGCATGCACGGCCAATGCAGGTTGTCCAATATCAGTCATTTACCTAAACTCTGGCTGAATAATTCAGTATACAAACCACGCAGAAAAGTACACAAACAGTATCCAATATCTCATTTAATAAATTATTTATAACATATTTGAAGCGACATTTTGTTAGGATATACATTGAGCGATTGGGAACGTTAAAAATTGTACTAGTACTCGTTACTTTTTTTCAAATACATAATAAGTTCTTTTCAAATGCAGAGAAAAGAGGGGCTATAGATGGGCAAAATTTAATTCGTATTTTATTTAATTTAACTTTATAATTAAAAAATCCTGTTAAGTTTTTTTTCCAATATGCATCATTCAAAAAGAAAATATTGGAATGATTGATCATCGGTAGCGAGGCCGTCCAAAAAATGTTCAGTCAGTGTAATGATGTTGCCGGAATGAAAGAGCGATGTTAAATGATGACATGTTGCGTCTGGAAATGAAAATAATAGATTATGTATTTACATATAATTTCACAGAATATGGTCATGAAAAATTCATGGTCTTTATACAGAAAAGTAATACTTGAATTAACAATGGTGCAACCATGGTGCGTATATGACTCAAATAAGTCCAGACTTGCACCATATAAATGTGATATGAATCGTAGCTACATGACGTCACAGTATCGCTATGGTAGGTCATTGGTCGCCGCTGCGAGCCATGGACGAGCGCTGCCTGACTTTCTCTCTCAGTGCCGCAGCTGCTCCTGTTGCTGCTGCTAGCACCGCGCTGACTGTGATGACACTCCCTACTGCTGCTGTGGCTGCTGCTGCTGTGACTACTGCTGCTGCTGTGGCTGCTGCTGCTGCTGTGGCTGCTGTTGTTGCTGCTGCTGCTGTGGCTGCTGCTGCTCTGGCTGCTGCTGCTGCTGTTGCTTCTGTTGCTGCTGTGGCTGCTGTAGCTGCTGCTGCTGCTGTGACTACTGCTGCTGCTGTAGCTGCTGTTGTTGCTGCTGCTGCTGTGGCTGCTGNAATTATAAAATATTCTGGTAACAATTAACGACATTGCAAGGACCACTCGTGCCAGGATGCTTCACGTCCGCATGCATTGCGCGTAAGGCAGGCAGGCTTGCATCGCTTACATCGCACCCTGTCTCTTATACACATCTAGATGTGTATAAGAGACAGGTTGTGGCCACTGCTGCTGCTGTGGCTACTGCTGTGGCTACTGCTGCTGCTGTGGCTGCTGCTGCTGTGGCTGCTGTTGTGGCTACTGCTGCTGCTGTGGCTGCTGTTGTGGCTGCTGCTGCTGTGGCTACTGCTGCGGCTACTGCTGTGGCAACTGTTTCTGCTGCAGATATTGCCTGCTTCTGCGGATTCAACATGCTGCATTTTACTGCGTGCATAGAAATGTCATTTGCGCAGCGAACTGTTGGGTGTTATTAAAAAATTATTCAATGAGGCCAGCTGATGACATCTCTCATGATCTGCTGACCACAATAAATGTTTTTGTCTGAAAACTTCTTCCTTCATGCTACAACAACTTCGATTTAAATTTGCAGCATTAGAAAATTATTGATGCCCCGTCCAGGCCCGCAAATAACCATCCCGTGTATAAGACCCAATGAATATTTTTAAAATTAGAAGTTTTTATTCTAACACCGAGAAGAAAATTACAAAATTTCTCTGTAGTTTGGACTGGAACGACATTTTACCAGTTGGTTCTCATAAGGGTAGAAGTTTAGAACTTGACCGTGTGCTCCATACACGCAACTCTCAAGTCGCCGATCGCATATCGAACAACATAAATTCGAAAATGCAGAGCAAGATGCACTTTTAACCGGGATCGAAAAGTTTTATTCAGTTTAATTTCTAAGGTTAATGACAGGGAAATTGAAGATTATCAAAACTCAGAGACGCGACTGTTCTCCAATGGTTTAACCAAAACTTTGATAATTGCGAATCGATGCTATCGAAGTGCTGATTACTTACGAGCAAAGATGAGATAAATAGCTGCACCCATTCTTTTGATCGTGAAACATAAATAGACTATTTTATGGATTTGATCGGCGATTGGCGTTCCCTGGTGTGTTTGGGAAGAAAGACAGAAGAATGGCAGTGGCTTGAATTATTTTCAACTTTACGCAATTAAGAGTTAAAGAAACGACGGAACACATGATGTGAAGAGAAATTATTTATATACGTGATTTCACGAAACAAATTTAGTACACGCATGAAATAAAATTAATAATTAAAGATTATCTTATCAAGTATGTACCACAATAACATGAGACTATTACTCTACCCGTTTACGTTTAACCTCCGTGTGAAAACCAAACCAGTTTCGCATCGAAAGTTAATGCGGTTATTTATCTACAGCGCGCTGGTGGGAGCTTTCCCGAGTTTTTACAAAACGGGTTCTTGTGCGTCCTTCTCTGCTGGTGAAAAGAGATGTTCACTTTCTCGTACGCATTATAATTAAGCATGCCACAGGTGAGCATTGGCTGCAAGTGTTGAATGCATTCGTGGCCAGGGTGCAGATGTGCAGAGTGTGCTATACTATACTGCACTTCTCGTACACTGCGTTCGTGGCCAGGGTGCAGATGTGCAGAGCGTGTTATACTGTACTGCACTTCTCGTACACTGCGTCCGTGGCCAGGGTGCAGATGTGCAGAGTGTGCTATACTATACTGCACTTCTCGTACACTGCGTTCGTGGCCAGGGTGCAGATGTGCAGAGTTATACACATCTAGATGTGTATAAGAGACAGGCACTTCTCGTACACTGCGTCCGTGGCCAGGGTGCAGATGTGCAGAGTGTGCTATACTATACTGCACTTCTCGTACACTGCGTTCGTGGCCAGGGTGCAGATGTGCAGAGCGTGCTATACTATACTGCACTTCTCGTACACTGCGTTCATGGCCAGGGTGCAGATGTGCAGAACGTGCTATACTATACTGCACTTCTCGTACACTGCGTTCGTGGCCAGGGTGCTTGAGCTGTGCGTGCGAACGCAGTGTTCCTAATTTGATTGTGTTCTATTAAATTTTATATATAATGGTTATAACGCGTTCAATTAGGAATAATTCTTCATTTACCACTCTGTTTTCAGGGTGTAAACTGTTTTTCAAAGCTGCTAATGTTAGATGGGAACCCCAACTTGCAATCGACCAAAGTCGCGACCTTGCATAGAACTTCCAGAGATGTTATATCAAGCTTTCTGATCTGGAGTAGCATTCTTCTAGAGCAAA